TATATTGTACGTTGGTACCCTACCATATAGCCTACATTTTAATCAAATTTTGCCAAAATTTATTTTATTAGACTATCAATATTTCAATAAAAAACACACCTCAATACATTCCCTGTAGCAGCAAACCTAAGTACTCATTAAAATTAATGTTATTTAAATAGAAAATAAATCTGACAATTTTAAGGGAATATTTTAGTAGAAACCCAGCCAGGTAAATGGAAATTCGCTTAGTCTGCAGGTTTGCTGTGGCGGGGGTAGATTGTGCAGTTAGAACATAAATGTTAAGTTAATTCACGCACGTGAATTTTAGGAGTTTAGGTAAAAAATTCATAAAACCAAACCTTTTGTAGGCTAGAGACCTGAATTTTAACTATTTTCCGGCCCGGGGAGCCCTTGGAACCCTCTTTACTGAGAAAATCAGATCTTGTGAAATCTTGTGAAAATCAGATTTTTCCGTTAAGTTAAATGTTAATGGGTTTACAGGACAATCACCATTAGATTACTAACCCATCCTCACTGGCACTACACCATCACATTATTAGTAGGCTATCCCTAATGGCTAATTTCTAAAGGCTAGCCTTGAAATATATTAGCAGAACATAACTTAGAGCTCGATTTAAGAGGAATTTTGTGAGTTAACTTAACTTACCCTTTATCCTTGGTGAGCAAATTGACATAGGCTACCCAACTTAAAATGTCCGTGTAGAAAACAAAGGTTTCAAGGTTATTCGTTTCTTGGACTCTGAATGTAATGGAACAAATATCGAGAGAATATCAAAAGGGTATTACTAACTTAGGCTAATTGATTTTCAAAATGCATGGGCTACAACCCCATGGAGTCCGGGTAAGTTTGGTTAACTTAAGTTTGTGCGATTGGACTGTTGATCTAGGTAAGGTATTGAATTTGACAGTTTGTGAAAAAGTCCTCTTGAAAATAGCATGGCTCAAAACGTTCATTCAATATACGGGCACATAAGTTACTTAACTTAGGCTTAAGTTATTGTAATATAACTTACATTTACCTTACTTTAACTTACCATACAACGATTTGACATAGGCCTTAGTAAGTTATAAGTTTACTTGATAGGCCTAGTAAACTTATAAGTACTGTGGGAAAACACTTCCGATACAATGCATCTTGGTGTGGTAAGTTACCTTAAATCCAACTAAGATTTCATTTGATCGCAGGTTCGCTGCAGAGCTGTACACAAGCCCGATTTCAAAGTTTTACCAAATAGGCCTAAGCCCTCATAGGTAAAATTTAAAATTTGTTTGAGTAGCACAGACATTGTGATACTTAAATTATGAGTCTAAGAATAAGTTTGCTAAAATGAAACTTTGCGTTGTGTGTTAGGTTAGCTTTTTTTCTCTCGTAAAAACCCCAACTGAAAAAAATGCATATTATAATATCGCAACAAAATTTAACCATCCAGTGAACGTTTTGAAATTTTTTAGCTACATAAATTTGTAAACTTACCTTCCAAACACATGACCTGGCAGCCATCTTGTTGTAGCCTTTTCGTTAGGACTTGCATTGTTGTTTCACTGGGAGAACTGCCCTGACTTTTTTGATCAGTCAAACAAATATCACTGTAAATGACGAACAAGCTCTCCTTGTAAGCATTCGCGATTTTAGATTTTAATTCCCTGCATTTAACAGTCGACACAAGATCAATTTTTCCCGCTGCCAACCTACGCAACATAATACTCGGAATGCTAAAATTTACAGCATGCCTAATATGGGATTCTCCGAATTCGTTCGAGCTGCGACAATCAAGAATTATAAGACGAGTCGGATTTGACCTTAGTTCCTGCAGAAGCCAATCCTTTCCTATGCAAATGTCCATCATAATAGCACGGTCGGGAGATTCATCTTCGTCTGATGGCATTGTTTACTACTGATGTAAGACGTCAAAGAACACAAAAACTCGGAGATAACTCTTCTATATTAGATTTACCACGATATCACGTGCACAGTTCATTCCTAGGACACTGGAAAACTCGTAAAATACACAGAAAGCGCCTCCAAGTCACTCAAAACTGACAAAATAATCTAAACGCTGAGGATAGGGCGCTGCCCGGCTTCGTTTGACACAAACAACCACGGCCCTCTAAATCCGAACGTAGCTGTTGCTGTCGCTTACCCCACCACTGCCGCCTCGACCCTCCCCCGTTCGTACATTCATCCTGCAGATATCAAACAATGCGCATGTCACGTGGTACAATATTGTCCAATGGGGTTCAAGGCCGTCACTTCATTCAGAAAACCTTAAAGCAAAATTTCTTTAACACCTACACTCCTAAATATGCATAATTAAACCGTATGCATTACCAGTCATTTTGGTTGGTTTATTTTAACTAACTCTAATTTGAATTGTTCAATTATTCAACATTACATGGGTAATTTAGTCATACAGCGAAACATATCATAAATAAACTGCTAGAATTAATTATTATTTAAGTAAACCCTTCAATTTACATCAGTAACTGCCCCTAATATAATATTTGAGGAATTTCACAGGTTACTCTCATCAAATTAATTATAAAACAAGCATATATTTTTCTAGCATTAAAGTATTTATTCCGGTTTTATTGCATAATAAACATTTCATTATCATTACAGTACTGTACCTGTATTTGTTTAATATTCTTGATTAACCAGGCTGGTAAAAAAATAGTTTAGATTTGAGATTCGAGATTTATGGTTTTGAACATCACTAGAACTTGAAAATGCACATACCCCTCCTCAGATTTAATTGTAAAAACAGTTTGTGTAAACTGTAAAAAACTTCAATCTTTTTCCATAATTAAAGCTGGAAAAACGCAATGCTGGATCTGAATTTCAAGCCACGTAAAAGAACACTTTATTTAATTTTCCAGAAGAATGAATTGAGGGACGGATACATTCATACACTACATGTCAGTAGATGTAAAAGCCTTTTGAAAGAGCATTTCTTCTTATTTTCAGATTTTGCAACAAAGTAAATTAAAGATTAACTAGGAGTAGCCAAATACACAGACAAGGGAACAAAGCAGGCTCGCGGTTTGCATGAGATGCGCTAGGGCCCTGAGATAGTTGTGCCCCTCTCCTTAAGGTTAATTTTTCTCTTCCTTGCACCCCCAACAAATCTAAAACAAAACCTCTTACTCCCCTGGGCCCAATTATTAAAGTGCTCTGGGAACTAGTATTTATTTTTAATACTTATTCCCTTGTCTCTGATATAAGCAAAGAGAGATTTTCCTTTATCAAATGGTGTTTTGTCATTAGACAAAATTTTCTGAACCTTTGCCAGACAGTGAAAAATTCTTAAGACGTTTTATTGTCGCGTCTTGTCCTGTTTGATTCAGAATACATCACTTTATTATCATATTGCTAACCTTGGTATATAGTGACGCCTTCAGCCACAGCCACCTCTAATACAGAGGTGGCTGTGCTTCAGCCAAAACATGTTAAAGTAGGCCTACCTTGTCTTGTGCCTGCTTCGGTGAGCAGCTGACACAAACATCTTCTGTTTATCTCAGATTTCATAATTTTATTTTTACATACAGTTTTATTTTTCATAAAAGTTGTAGGTATAAATTATTTTATGTTACACTTTTCCATTCCAAGCGAGATTACTTCTGGACCGAAATGCTACTTGTGATGGGTTATCAATTCAATTCATGATGCTAACATACGTTTTGGATCGTTCCCTTCAAAATCTTATCCGGACAAAAAGCAATAAATGTTGCTAGTGTTGGTAGAGAAATTAAACAATGATATCCAATATACAGATATTTAAGGGTTAACAAGTTAATAAGTTTAAATGAACTTTATTTCACTTCATAAATTCTGAGAGGGGGTTGTACATCTACCACCAAGTACAAGTAATGGTTTTAGGGACTATGTACAGTAGACCCCCTTAACCGGACAGGTAGGTCAGATAACTCAAAAGGTCAGTTAAAACGGGCAATCCCTAAAAATTTAAGAAATGAAGTCCTATTCATTTGGAATTATATTATCATTATTCTGATTTTGACTTATAAAATAAACTACACTTATCTCCTTAAATTTGTCTTAAGTATTGACGATAGAACTGTCACAAATAAACCCAATACCCCCGCCACAGCAAACCTGCCGACTAAGCGAATTTCCACTTCTCTGAATGATTTTCAATTAAATCTATTTAAATAACATTACGTTTAACGAGTACCTAAGTTTGCTGACACAAGGAAACTGAAACTAATAAAGTGTGTTTTAGTAAAATATTAATAGCTTAGTATAAAATAAATAAATTTGCCAAGTTTGATCAAAATTATCCATAAACAAGCAAACTACAACATTTTCAATATTCTTCATAAGAATAACATGGGAATTTTTAATTTAAAATTTGTTGAATTTTCTCCGTTACCGGTACCAATTACCGTACAAAAACACTTTGATATACTAAATTATTTGTTTTTTGAGCTCTTTAAAAAGATTTAGAGAGAAATTGGGAAATTTTGTTTTGAGGGTCAAAAATGAGGGGTGCGGCGGGGTCAAGAGGTTTGAAGGGCTTCCCCGCAAAAAGGGGAGAATTTAAAAATTTAAATGCAAAATAATTAGTTTGCATGCTTTCCAATTATTACATATAATTCAATTCCTTTATTTATTTATAATGTTGATATATCTTGCAAAACGTTGCGTAGGCCCGGGCCTACCTGGCCTGCCCTCTGGAGCTTCCCCTTCTATAACATTCTGTGGGTAGAGTTCAGCGTATTGTTCCCGGAAATGCTGAGATTCTTAGAAAACAGCGGCTAAACCGAACTGCTCCCAAAACAAGGTAGGTTAAAAAAAACTATATTTTACGAGCAAGGGCGGATAATCCGATTATCGGTTAATGCTAGGTCGGTTAAGAGGGGGCCTTCTGTAATACTGTATTGCATTTCACAAACATTGAACAATACACAATCAAATTCAAATTCTTAAGGCAGAGCTAAGTAAAATTGAACAGGAATAACATGTGTTGAATAAAACTCAGTTGTATTTTAAAAATTAGTTTACTAAATAAAGTTATTTACAAATCTTACAAATTTTATGGACGGAATCGTTGTGCAAAGTACACATCTTTGTAGGCTCGCAATATGAACCTTATAAAACTATATTATATACATAAAGAAACACTCATAGCTAAATCTAAAATTATTTAAATATTTTAACAAGAATCAGAATCAACATAATAACAAGGATGAATCATTTCAATAACTCTTAATAAAGAAGCCAATTTTTTTTATTCTTCTTACTATGAATAACACTTTAAAGTGCATAACATTTTAATCTGTTTTATACAGATCTTAATCCACATAATGTGCAAACATTAAGGATTTGTTTGTCTAAATTCAGCAGGTTGTACATTCAATCTATATACAAGGCGCATGGATAGTAAAAAAATCTTTAAGTGATTTTGTAAAACAGAACGTAAAATTTAAAATTTACAAACATAATTACACTTAAATTATTCAATCATTTGCTGATATAACTACTTATTATAAACACATCTTGGCACAAATTTTTATGTACATATAGATTAAAATAATTTTTATTAAATTATTCATAAATATAATATCTAGATCCCTAAATTATCAATATGTTACATAATTAATACTATAATTAACGATTAAGATTACTCTTAGGGATGTTACATTAAGTAGTAAAAAAGTAATTAATTAGAGCAAAACTGGATTTTAAAGGACACTTATAATAGTAGTTTACTGCATAAAGATAGTGTTAAGGACACAAGTAAATTTAAGGCCAAGGCTCGTAGAAGGGCCAACACTTCTACGATTGCCGTTAACACTATTTACACGAGTTGCGTACACTACTTTACCTACGACAGTGTTTAAATTACTAAAAATCACTACTCATAACTTCTAAGAGAGGTTATGTTTTCGGTTTTAACCTAGCATTGCCACTGACAGTGATGCAACGAAATATTGTACCAAACACTAATTGCACCACTCAGCAATTTAATTGGCTAGAACAGCTGATTAGTTGAAGTTTGAATCATTACAATTTTACATCTTCTCTCATTGGTCCGTTACCCGTGTTTTTATGATTAAAACTATGCTGTTATGGAAGTAAACAATGCTGTTATGTCATGTGAAACTTTTCAATTCTAAGAACTGAACTGAACCGGCTACCTACTTTAAAAAACTATTGTAGGTAAAAATATTTTACCTAACCCGCCATGTTAAACTTCCCTATCCCAAGCGTGATGTATACAACTTCCTTACTTCTCGAGTGATGTAAAGTTGAAGAAAACTCACTCGGTAATGTAATGAAACCCATTTAAATAACATTGAGTGGATAACTTAAAAAATATACCTCTATGGAGCCAACGACGTTCAACGCTAGAGATCAGCTGTGTGTTTGAATTTTATTGTTATGCTTTGAAGAATTTTCCTAACCTAGCTTTTGTTTGTAAATGAATGTTACTGTTAGAAGATGAGTGAAATTGATAATGAAGCATATTGCTCGTAACCTCCTGAATATTGTCGGGTCAGGTAAAATCTTGTACGTTACACGTTACGCAAGAGCGTGTTTACATCACTTCGGTGAATTATGCAACTCGCCTTCGCTCGTTGCACAACATTCACCTGCGTGATGTAAAAACGCTCTTACTACACTTGTAATGTAAATAGCTATTACGCCACACTACATTATTTTGACAAACTTCCCACAGAAACTTCCCAAACGATTTAGTCCAGAAAACAGCTGTTTGCCGCCAGCTTATTCAAATGGGGTTTCATTGCGTACTACTGTACTGCAATGAGTTTTACCAGACACCAATCAGTTATACTGATTATACTATATTTAGGTGGCAATGAATGGTTATAAACAAAAACATATATGACTGGTGATTTTTAGTCCTTTAGTTGGTGGAAATATATAAGAATTTGTACGGATTTAGTAGTAGGATTGTCATATTCATAAAAAGGGCCTACTAATTTTACAATATAATTTTCAAAAGCTTTCAAGTATTGTATCCAGGACATCAACTAAAGTCATCATTATTGTCAGTTAGTTAGAAAATTATCGCTTTAGCAGCATTGTTAGCACCATTACAAATTTAACAAGCATCATATATCAATGGTCAATTGTTTGTTGTAAAAAATATACATAATATCAGAATAAACTAAAATATTTGGTATTTCAAATATATTTACACTTTGCAATCTATAGTTTACCAACATTTGGAAACCACTAAAATACTTAACTCTACCAGTGACATAAAACTATTGAGGATTTCATTTTTAGCTTTTAAAAAATTCTACAGAGTTTTAATTGGAAAAAGGATAGTTTTGATTTTTAAAAATGTATGTGTAAACATTTAAATAATGTAGTCCTACACATGATAAACCTCTGGCATTAATGTCTTATCACTGCAACCACCCTTTCGCTTGTTACTCTGTCCATATGGGACTTTTACTATAGCAACTATCACTGTCTTTATAACTGCACAGTTCAATGATTGTGATGGGAAGTTGAATTTGAACAAATCAGTTCTAAATCATAACAAATTGCAAAATCAACTTTAAACCTTGACTTAGCCTCAGTTAACCTATAAAACTGCTAAAATATAACTTTGAGCATCAAAATTACTAAAAAAACTACCAGTATTGACAAAAGCACCTCCGTAACAAATTAACGTAACTAATATTTGCTTCTCTGTCGCCTGCGGAGGGTGTAGCAGCGGCCGGAGCAGACGTAGGCCATGGGGATGAGCAGAAGACAGACGACAGCCAGCATGAGAGGAGGAAGGTACGGGGAATAGGCTAGGGGAAGGGGAAGTGAGTCAGGCAGTTGCAGCCCGTGATACGCCAGCGCCGCAGAGCCATTCGGAGACGGACATGGAAGCTGTACGATAATATCTTGTCTCTGAACCTGCAATGAAAATATGCATTAACTGCATTATTACAATTATAGTCAATAATGTTAATGCTAGAAGTAGCTGTAAATCCTTTAGGTCCAAAGGCTTTTATAATTTATTTATTTCATTTCCTTGTAGCAACTACAAATATTAAATACCGGATTGCAATTCTTCTAAAAAAATTACAGTTTCATTGAAATATGATTATCCTAAATTGTTTAGGATGTTCATAGTAGCTTCTACAATTTTGTCTGTGTTAAAAGTTACTATTACATGCATAACACCAAATGAACAGTGAACTGAATAAGTGCATTGCAAGGAATAGCTAACTACAGTTGAACGCTGCTAGATCAAATAACCTCCCTTGACAAAAACCTGAGTAAACTTTTGAACTCCGTGAATTGTAATATTATTTATTTACATCTATTTTAAACGGTTTTCCCCTTTTCTCTTATAAAAACAAAACATCTATAATTTGATTTTTTTTTTATTTCCATACACATTAAGGTTAGGTTAAAATTTGTCCCTAAATGTACACAGTTTTCACTAAAACTAGTGAGCAACAAACTAATATAAAAGTTCTACTTATCTAATCTAGAATCAGTTGTTTTTACTGCACAAAGACATAAATTGTATATTGCAGAATTAAAGTAACAAGTACAGCGATTACACACCTGGTTCTTTTTACAAATGTGCTGAGCGGAGCTGGCAATCACTGCTTCCTGAGCATACTCTCGACCAGCGAGCGGCGCTAAGATCCAGCGGGCCGGGCTGAGGACAGCCAGGTGGGGGGAGAGTGGAGGAAGATCCCACCGGAGCACCGGGAATCCGGAGACAAGGGAGAGACAAAGAATAAGTAGACAAGAGAGAAGGGAAGCACTGAGACGGCCCGGACAGAGATAACCTAGCAGTGTGGTGAGACTCTGTAGTGTGCACAGGGCTACCAACATGTATCCTGAAAATAAAATAAAAAAGTCAAACTAATACAGAGCTACCAACATATATCCTGGAAAACAGTCAACAGTTTTAACTACAAGGCAACAAACATGTAACCTGTAAAAACGGGGCGATGTCTACTTGTACCGGCGTCTAGTTGTACCTGCTGCATTTTGGTGACAGGCGTCTAGTTGTACCCCGTCCAAAGCTGTAGAGACAACTTGACGATGGTGCGGACGTCTAGTTGTCTCTACGTCTAGTTGTCTCTACGTCTAGTTGTACCTCTTAAAAATCTACAGGTACAACTAGTCGGGAACGTCACCGTCTACTTGTACCTCATACGTCTGCGTCTACTTGTACCTACGACTACTTGTACCTACGACTACTTGTACCTACGACTACTTGTACCTACGACTAGTTGTACCTACGCCCACTTGTACCTACGTCTAGTTGTACCTGCGGCTAGTTGTATCTCCCCTTCAACTTGTCACCGGTTTAAGAGATTTATTTTATTTCTTTAAAAATCATACAATCTTACAACAATTTATTATAAACAACTTGCTACAAAAGCCAGGAAAATTTGGCTTGTCTGCAGCTCATTGAGAAACAGTTTGTTATTAGTCTTTCTTTGCTTTTGTTGACGTTATTTTTAATAAATAATTTATATCACTCCAGAGGTTTAACTCTACTACTAAAGGCAGCAAACATGTTTGTGAATAAATATTGGTTTACTAAGGTAGCTTTGGTCTTGTGTTTGATGATAATGATAATAAAAAGGCTTCCCTGATTGAAAGATTGGAAATCGTCTTCGTCAAAAATGAAAAGGCAAATAAAGGTGTGTTGAGATAAGCTTAGTTCTTGGTCAAAACCGCTAAATTAGCATCCCTACGAAGTTATTATTTCTACGTTTATTGTCCTTTTGGAAAGGTTTAACAAAATTAGTGTAAAGTAAAAGCATCCCATTGACCAAACGTATCGCTAGATTTGTTTTTGATCAACATAAAAACTACTATTAGCCTAGTGTAAGATTATGTGGTGGTATTCCTCCTAAAGGTGCGATTGATTTTAAATATTCTATCAAAAAGGGGTCTATTCAACGGCTGATTCCTAACTATTTTGCGACTGGTTAGGTTTCCATTACCCTGTTAAAAAACAATTAATTACTTTTCATCAGAATCTTCGACATGCATATTTTTGGTTGGTTTTAAGAAACGGAAACTACCTCTAGGTTTTACTGTTATATATGGATGCTTCCTTTAAAACCGTACATGCTGGGCTATATTATTTGAACCTTTTTTGGAGTACCTGGTTAAAATCTCCTCTAAAAAATTATGTGTTTCCGCCCATTGGAACTTGTCATAGTACTTACTTGATGATTAATGAACAAACCCTTATGAAAAAGTTTATATATGGCCATATAAAATTTTTTGTATCTGGTTATATTTGGTTTTGGACCAAATATAACCAGATATGATCATATATGGAATCCCCCATATATGGAAATCTTTAAATAAAAAAAAATAATAAAAAAATAACAATTAAACATATTTTCACATCAAATGGTATAAACTATGCATTAAAACCATGATAAAAATTTTTTATACGAAAATTTCAAAACAAATTTTTTTATCAGCCATCTAGGATTCGAACCCGGGACTCCAGCGTGGGAGTCGGCCCCTATAGCCACTACACCATAACCGCTCCATATCTGTTCACTCAACAAAACCCATTAAGAATAAGAGAAGCTGTATTTGGTCTTGTAAAACAAGATTTTCTTAGACATTTTATGTCATTTGAAGAATGTTATCATTAAAATAGCCTAACTACGTGACATTGATATTTGCGGCTGTTTAATAGCAAAGGTACAATTAATTAATTCTTAATATAATATTCTCCTTATTTAGGCCACTACACTTACAATTTTAAAATTATACGTCAGTTTAAAGATTTTGTTGCGTTATAATAAAATTTTACAATAGATGTATGTACAGGATTTTGTCATCTGGGTTCAAATCTGGACACTTTATTACTTTACTACTAATTACTTTAAAGGAGAAATGCCTATATTATCTGCCCCCTTACTGTACCACATTCCAACTCAATCAGTTCAGTAGTTTGTGCTTGCTAGAGCAACAAAAATATTATATATATTATAAGAAGTGTTTGGGATTCCAGTTACAAAACCCAAATGTGGCAACAATTCCTTATAATAATTCCAGTTATTGTCAAAAACTCATTTATACATGAGCATAAATGGAAAATTATTATTCCATATATGAGTAATTTAATTCCATACCTGGGAGTCATATATGGCCATATATAGACAATAATTCCATATTGGAGGATATTTATGGCCATATATGGGCAATAATTTCATATATAGAAAACATGTATGGCCATATATGGACAATCATTTCATATATAGAAAACATGTATGGCCATATATGGCCAATAATTCCATATATAGACTACATATATGACCATATATGGACACCCCCATATATGGATACAACCACATCTGGCCATATCTGCTTCCATATATGGCCATAAAAAACCATATATGGCTTTATAAAAACATACATGGAATTTTGATATGGCCATATATGGCCAGAAATTACTTTTTTATAGGGGAATATATTGCCTGTCCTGAACGAACCTATTTCATCTTTATTCCCAGGTTGATTTCCAAGAGTGGCCGTTGAGGTTTATCCCTTTATACAATAATTGATTAAACACCACAATAAATTAATCTAAAATTAAAATTGGTAAAATAAAATATAAAAAAATTGAATAAATCTTGAACATATGTTTTGAAATTAAAACAAAGCAAAAGTTTTCCATTAAATCCTGAATCATTTATTTTTTAATTATAATTATCAATACATTTTCAAAGGAGAAACAAACGTCCGATTATTTCTAGGCAGCCACAACAGATGCCACAATCGTTCTACGATTTCCCAGTCTCTCACCACAATTTTGACGCAAAGAATCGGCTTACGTAATTAATATATAGATAGAATAGATAGAGTGTAGATGTAACAGTCGCTCATACATTACTAGACAAATTTTACTTAAGCCAAATTCAAGTCTGGAAATGTATGAAGCAGCCTTTTGGTCTTTTCAGTTGTATTCCTATATGCTGTTCTTACCATGTACATTCTTAGCGGCCACTATTTACATCAACGTTATTAGTAATGTACAATATTTACAGTTTCTTAATTACAATTAATTATTTATCGCTCAGTTCTGTTAGGGTTGAAGGTTTAACTAACCTGTTTTACATGGCTAAATGTAGTAACCATCCAACGCGGAATACAACGTCGCAATCCCTTGTTAAATATCTTTAACTGTAAAAGTTATAGTAACATATAAATACTATTTTTAACATACACAAATCTGGGTTTCAATCAATGTTGCTTCAGATAATAACGTTGAGCTACCATTAAACATTATTAGTTTTAGGAGACACTTTATTTTGGCTACGTTATGATTTCTGGTCGCTATCTTATGCTGGACCAAAGGATCGAAAGAATACGCAAACAATACCGGTATCATTACAATAGAGACATAGCTCCGTGTTTAAAGCGATATTATACCTCCACAAACTTGGGTAGTAACTATATTTAACTATATATAAGTTTGTTAAGACCAAAAGAACTGACTAATGTAAATAGTTTTAATTTAGAAACTGTACTATTGTAGATTACTAATAACGTTAATTGTAATAGTAGCCGCTAAGTATTTACATAATCAGAACTGTAAATATGAATAAAACCGTCAAGGCCGAAAGACCGCTTATACATTTCCATACGTGACAATTCTGTCTAGTGTATGAGCGGCTGTTACATCCAACAATCACATAAGACCAAGTTACATATACATTTATTTATCTAGATAGTAATTTAAAAGCGGTATATTTTTATTACTACTTAATATAGTTAGTAAGATTTATTTGATCAGTGAGAACTGATTGGTTGCTTTAGTCAAATAGTCAACACCTAGCCGTGGTTCTTGGTGGTGTACGCAAACTTCGCTTGTCAAATTCCACTGACACAAAGGCCAGGCCTTGTAGTCCAGGAGCTGAGGGGGTTTGAGCATGCATAAAGGAGTACGCAATGTTATTGCTGATTATTGTAATATGGACTGTGGTGATCAAAATTACGCATGTCACCTATTTAAGAAACTGACATCCCCCATGTCAAGAAATTCCAGCTTCAACAGTAACCTCAAAATAAATTTCTCAAAAGTAAGCTAGAGGGTGCATTCGTTGGCACAGAAGTAAGATATGAACTGACGCGACGTGACGAAGGAAAAATCAAACTTACACTGTAACGGATATACCTCCCTTTGAATATGTCTTCCCAAAAAAAGTTTTCTTTTCAAATAAAATCATATTACACTGATGAAATCACGGAAGTGTTTAACTACAAAAGATCCACCAATACGATTTTAATACTATTTAAAGGTTCTTCCAAAGGAAGAGATACCAGATAACATACTAATAATAACTCCGATGACGTATGGTAAGGGGAATATTTTATTCATTGAATGATCAACCGAATTTGGCGACTAACGCAATTAATATCAATATTGTTTTTACACTTATTATTCTTTAAACAATGCTAAATGCTCAAAATATGTAGCCTATATTTCATCCAATTTATCGCAGTTAGGTGAATTAACGTAATCCTTGAAAGTAACCGTCGATTTCGACGGGTTTCACCTAGTTACTATTAAATAGTATTAGTTAATATATCGATGTTCACATGACCGGATGTGTCATCAGCTCTATCCCTAGTCCGTCGGTCATTATCCCTCGAGGCACCGGCCGATGGACCAGGGAACAGCTATGATTTACACTATCACCCTCTACTACGACATTTTTTTTAGGTAAACATTCCAACGCTCATGATGACATCGAACACTCATGCATATTTGTATATAGGCCTAGCCAGTCCAAAACCTGAATACACTGTAGGTATGAATCAGACCGCTTATATCATAAACAACTAAATATTAAGGCTAGTTTCCTAACCAGAGAACACACAAGAATGGCACTTTACAAGACTTTTTATACCAAGCCTTCATAAACTAAGAGTATTTCATAAGTTACGTTGCCTGTGTAGATTTAGACTTAAAATCAGTATAAAATCAGTAATGGATTGAAAATCTAAGTGTTATTTACGTTTTGTTTGCACTATAATGTAGTGTACCTGTTTCTCGAAATCGACTAATTTTTAAGCTATGTGTATTACCAGGAATTATTTCAAAACTAATAAATAAATAACGTCTTTGTTGGGCAGCGTACATCAGATTATAGATCTGTTTTACATTAAAACTTTTGTCATTCAAGGAGTTTAAAATACTCAACTAAAAGCTTATGTTATTAATAAAAAAATCACACTGTTCATAACAGTTTGATATAATCAACATTTTTTTGAAAATGTTTAATACTGTGAGTGAAAGAGTTTTTTTTTTTAGCAACTACCACAGTACTACGTAAAATCAAAACAATATTTAGGTTGATTGGAGGTCAATCACTTTCTCGCAACTACGCGATAGAGGGCTGACCCAACACCCCAATAACTGGAATGGATTGTTGTGAAAGGAAACTCTAAGAATTTGCAAATGAAGTCCATTCTGAGTAACGTGTGGGGATTAACGGGACATTCTGTACGCTGTTTACAAAATATTTCCTTTGCCTTTCCAAGTACTGAATCTATATGGTTTTGCTTATATTAAACAATAAGTCAAATACGTTGTAGCAGATGTCTTTGGCTGCATTTTACAACAGGTATTTCGTTCACCTTTCTCAGAAATAGCTGTTCATGGCGTGTTCCTGAATCAACAATAAGGTATATTGTGTTATTGTCCTAATAAACACGAGAGACATTCGCCTATCTTTATGGTCGTATTATATAAATAACATTGAACTGATTAATTTAACAAATGATCATTGTTAATTTATTGTAACACTTAAGATATTTATGTACTGTACATTTATGTTTTATGTTTTACATTTATGTTTGTTTTGTACTGTATTTATGTTTTAGTATATATACTGTTTAAATATTTATTTATTCAATCAATGTCCTGACTAATCAACACACAACCTAAACGATATTAAATAGAGATTTGATCATATTGTCATAGCATCTCTTTATAAGAAATCTGTCCGGAGTATGTGCAATTTTGGTTTATTAAACTTATTGGTAAATTGGTGTAAGATTGTTTTAGGTTTATTCGTAATCCGGACGCATACGAAGTTGAAGCTTTTGCTTTGGTATTAACAGTCAAGTAAAATAAATAAATAATTAAAATAAATAAATAATTAAATAATCTTATAAATTTAAGAAAATGGGTTATTCGTTTGGCTCTGCTACCCGACCATTTTTATTATTGAGGTCTCAAATTAAAGGTATGCACGCACAGATTTGCCATCAAGCATCGGCGTATATTTTTCTATTATCTCACTCGGCTTATACGTAAACGAAATTGCTCCCCATTTTTTTCTTATGGGAGTTAAATTTGGTTTTCATGATTTTCTTCGTTAGGCTAAACAAATCATGTTAACAATTTAATTTTTGAGTTGTTCTAATTCTTATAACGTAGTTTTCTAAAGTTATCTGTTGTGGCTGCCTAGAAATAATCGGACGTTTGTTTCTCCTTTGAAAATGTATTGATAATTATAGTAGTGGTAGTTAGTTATGTTACAAGACTATGACAAATTGCCAATTATTGAGTCAACTTGGTCCCCACGCACAGGCTTCGCATATGTGGGCCCTGTCGATTTTCAGAAATTACGTTCATTCTGTATCTATTATTCTTTTGTTATGAATTGCTTTTGATTTTATTTATTTGATTTAATTTTACTATGGTATTTTTCCGGACAAACTCCATTAAACATATAGCACGGGTTGAGGTTAATTTAACAACTTAAAACTAATTCATTCAACAATAGTTTACCTGAAAACTATTTTACTAATATTTGTTTAAAGTTTTACAGAATACACTTACACATGATGCTATTGTATGTTTTTATTTATACATGATATAGGTACTTACAACAAAACTTGTGAATTTTTGTGTTTATTTATACATTTATTGTATGGCAACAACGTAAACTTAAAGATAGGAGCGAGTGTATGCAATTCCAAGATAGAGTTTAGTATTCACCGATCCTACGATAGTTTAAGAGTATATTTCGTACCTAGGGCCGAAAATGACTTTTTTTCAGCTCGGGATCATTTTTAAGTTCGAGACGAAGATGAAATCGGTCCGTGGTACGATTGCTGTTTTTCACCAAACTTTACAAAACTGAGAAAATATATCAATAATGTAGGCAAGCATGTTTCTTTACAACCTTTTTATCAGCTCGTGAACATCACAGAGAAAATATCCGCATATCGGTGGAAATGTATTTTCCTGTCGATCTACAGAATGCCTTTATAAATTAAAATAGGCTAAAAAGACATAAAAAAAAGAATTACAAATGTTTAAAACTAACATGGGTTTAACGGGTTGCTATGCTGGTGACGAAATAACAACTAATTATGAAAATAAAATCAAAACAAATGGAACATATTCCAATCACATTTATTATTTACAGTGTATGTTAATACCCCGCCGCAGCAAACCTGCAGACTTAGCGAATTTCCATTTGCCTGATTGGATTTAAACTAAAATGTCTCCTTAAAAATATCACATTTATTCCCTATTTAAACAGAATTAGTTTAATGAGTACTTAGGTTTGCTGCAACAGGGAGGGTAAACAAGTTTTTTTATTAGTATTATTTAAGTTTAATTATTTAACTTATTTAAGTTTATTAGTATTTTCCAAATTTGATAAAAATATTTTCATAAACAAGCAAACTACAACAGTTGACTTCTGCTCCATAAGAATAACATGGGAATTTTAAAATTACAATTTTTTTGAATTTTCTCCGTAATAATTAGGTGCATAATAACGCTTCAATATACTAAATTATTTGTTTTTTTAAGCTCTACAAAATGGTTTGAAAAGAAATTTAGAAATTTGGTGTTTTTAGAGTCAAAAATGGGAAAAACCTATTTTTACCCCATAAAACCCCCCATAAACCCCCGTTCCCATAGTCCGATCATGCTGGTTCGCGAACTCATTCAAGTTTATCCCACCTTACACCTTCAAACCAAATTTCATCAAAATCGGACAAAAATTACTCAAGTTATCGTGCGGATGGACACACACACATATATATATATACCTCCCATATATATACATACATATATATATATAAAAATTTGAACAAATGGTGTTTTTGGCCTCTGGGGACATCAAAATGAAAAAGTAAATCGGTCCCGGGCTTAGGTCTTACCATGAGACCTACGGTAATAGCTACTTCCCTATATAGGGAAATTCGCTAAAAGGAGAAGTATGTGTACATTGCATAGTTTTTGTCGAGTTTTCAACCGCTGGACCTCAACTTCATTGTACACTTCATTGTTCATTGATCACTGGGAAATCCATTGTAAACTATAAGATATGCACACTAAACAATGCAAATACTTTAAGGTTATGTGAAAAAATATTTAAAGGAATCAGCAAAAATAGTAATACATAATTGCTGGGCAGCCGTCTATTGCAATTCATTAGGGATATACTGCTTGTATATTTAATGATATATATAAATGTTTTAATTAAATAAGCGATTTTCGGTACTAGGGCTGGAAAATTTTAATCACAACTATAGCTGCCATTTCGACCCTGGACAGCAATGCGTAGCTTTCAGCCTCCAATTAACGTCTGTAAAACTACTAAAACATCGTATTGCGGTGAAAAATATTTGCCAATCATACTCAATCGACTGCAGTTCCTGATTTAATTAAGGGTATTATTAAAAAGTACTCGTGCAGTAATCAATTAAACAGGGTAACGAATTGGAGGATAGATACAACTAGACTATAAGGACGCAAAATACGCGTAGGTACAACTAGACGTAGGGACTACTAGACGGAGGGACCACTAGTCGTAGAGACTACTAGTCGTAGGGACTACTAGTCGTAGGGACAACTGGTCGCATCCGTACAAGCTAGGTGATACTACTTGTCGGTGGGATACACGTCTAGTTGTACCTACGTCTACTTGTACCTACGTCTAGTTGTACCTCCTAAAAATCTGCAGGTACAACTAGTCGGGTGAGCCACCGTCTACTTGTCCCTCCGTCTAGTTGTACCTACGACTAGTTGTCCCTAGGCCTCGAGGTACAAGTAGTCGGAGGGACAACGAGACGGAGGGACAACGAGACGCGGTCCCGTAAAAACCAGTAAAGGCCAGTGGAATTCCAATGAAGAAATCTCAATCGCTCAAGGGATTTTTTTGGAAACTCGCAATCACCCGTCGTATCATGGACATTGATAGTGTGGCAATTTCTTACGGATGCTGTTCTTTAGATCTGCAATATTTTGGGGTTTCGTGGCAAAAACCTTGCTCTTCAAGAAGCCCCAAAACCAGAACAGAAATCACAATGGGTTAGGTCTGGAGACGGGGGAGCTGCAACCGGGTGATGGCTAGTTGACGATAACCGACGATAGTTCGACATAGCATAGATTTCACTCATTATTTATTTTTATGCCACCTCCATTAGAAAAGTGGAATAGTTTGCACAACTTATAATTACAAAAAAAATTCTATTTATTATGGAGCCATTCAACACTAAACTCATCTCTCTAACCCATGAATTAGCTGTGGTGTCACAAAACAAAATGGTAGTAGTTTTTATGGACCAGCACCCGTTATACTTGCAACCCATTGATTACTTTCAGACAAAGTACTACCAGAGATTTACACATAATTCTACTGATTACCATACTCCATAAAGTAATTCTTGTCGTAATGTACTGACCAATATAAACATAGAAGCCGTCAGGTGCAGGTCCTTGGTTGTACAGTCCTGTCATGGCGTAGGCTGGAATGATAAACCCAAGCCACAGCAGTAGAGATGGAGGCACACTGACTAGAGTCTGTGGACATTTGTACAAATGTTCTTTTAATCTTTTAACAAGTGTTATATTAAAATCACAACAATGAATAAAACTATGCTGAAATGGTTTTTTTTATATACTCAACTATAACAACCAGGGGCGCCTGCAGAAAGATTTTTTCAGCAGTTGGCGGCCTCTTCTACCTTGCATTTGCCTGTCTACATGGGCCACTGAGGCCTGTGCAAGGAACGTATCCAGTATAGCAAGGGCGAGCCGGCATAGTACATGTTAACTGTACTGATTATAAGTATTAGCAGGAATCTGAATCCACAACATCCCTGCCTTGCGCCCAAAGTCTGTGGCGCTACCATCTGAGCCACCGACTCACCGGGTTAACATATCGTCATGGGGATCCGATATAGTGTTCAAGTGGTCGGATAAAAGGGCCTCCCTCCAAACACACTAAAAATATTATTGGGATGACCAAAAGTTGGAATTTTCTTTCAAAAACATTTAAATAGCAAGAACCCAGCCTGAGTGATAAGATAAAAGACATATTTAGAAAGTAACAACGACTAACAAGGATACATTACAGGGTTTCCATTTTTTTTTTTGTGTGGTTTTTTATATATAAATTTAATGTCATCAGCAGAAGATGCGCGTGGACGGGTCGCTACTAGCCGAACTAAAAGATACGGGTGACGGTTACTGGCAGTGCTAGGGGTAGTGGCAAGTGAGTAGCAAGGCACAAATGTTTTCACAAAAGTACCCCCGCCAACCCCCTCGCCTAGACTCAACCAGATCTGGTCGCGCGCACAGAAACTTTGGCCGAACTGTACAGCTTGAAGATTACTTCAATTCAAAGACTAAACTGGTCGCTGGTCGTAACTCAGGAGAATGCCATAAGCACGCATTTAAGTTATAACACCATTTTCCACCATAACTTCTAACCCCCTCCTTTACCTTCTGTGGATGCCCACTAACACTAAGTTAAAACAATACTCACTGCAACTATAATATAGAGAGTTCTAGAGTAGAGGTTATCTTTGACATCGCTCTCGGCTGCCAGCCGGTCCATGTCGTGAGTCCTAGCGATCGCCACCACAGGTAGTAGAGCAGCTCCAACAACACACAGCATCGTGTAGTGGTAGCCAAGCCTGCAAGCACAAGTGCTCATCAAGTTAAAAAAGGATTTTTTTAGAAATTTACAACTTTTATAACAAACAAATCAAACTGTGTTAATTACCATGCTAAGGATTGTCTTTGGTAATTTTATGCCAGTATTCAAAAATAATTTTTGGCATATGGATGCCGCAGCTGGCTCAAATGAAATGCAATGTGCAAGTCCAGTTTTTTGATAGTTTTACCCAGTTACTGGGGCCGTATACTGGCAATAACACAACGGATGTTTACTTCCAAATCGTATGACACCAATGGACTATTTTTTGTGAGGATAGTTCAGTAACACAACACGTCTATGCCAATAAACCACAAACGCTGGAAGATTTGGGAACATCCGTAATGTGATTGCCAGTATACGGCCCAACTACTGGCCAACGTGACCGAAACCCGGACTTCCAGATTGCAGTGAACCGCAGCTCCCACATGTCCTAAATGATTTTTAACACTAAATTGGTTCACTACTTCTCACAAAGCTCCTCATACAAAGGTGTGACGGCTGGTACGCAACGTAACCAACAATTAAATAAGATTAAAAAGTTGAATCTTTCTTTTTCCTTTGAGACATAACTAACCTGTCAGCCTGTAGAAGTAAGGGGTCAGAACTGGGCAAATCCCAGAACACAGCACCGACGATAAGAGACAACGTGCAAGCCAGCAATAAGTGTGAGATCCAACGGCACAGACTGCTCGGCTGGCAGTAGACTGTCTGGCGTCTGTGACAAAGAACCTCGTTAATGTATGTAGCAGACGACACAATTGAATTAACTAGCTAGACGAGAGGTTAAAATGCTTCCCTAACAATCAGAGGGTTGGTTCATCCTGAGAGAGAAGTCAGCTAAAATGGTTCAAAACTGACTGTTCAAATGTTCAAACATAGCAATATGAAAAATATAAACCTCCCTTTGTACTTCCTTAATTCTCTACAACCAACAGCAACCAACGCTACAGCATGAATTCCAAAATAGCAATTTACTGTGCTACCCAGCAAAATATATAGTTTTCTGTCGTATTCTATGTTACAACCTTAATCTCATTATTAGACTTACAAGAGTATGGCAATGAATTGTTTGAAGATGTTGGCAGGCCTGGTTTTCCCTGGGAGTGCCTGCGGCGGACCTGGGTCAGACAGAGGCTCCTGTCTGCGTCGGAATAGTTCCGCTAACTGCTCGATGCGCTGACTAGATTCTAGCATTGCTTCTGCCGACAGATCATCCAAGGTCACCAAGTCCACTGAAACGTAGAAAAATTGATTTTTTAATAGAAATTTTGTGAAGTTTAGCATATCTGTAAGTAAAGCATGTGTAAGAAACTACTTGTCACAATTAGATATAATAACTGTCTATTACCAGTATACTTTAGAATGCATTATTTTCGCCAAAACACATAGGCTATAATACAAATAAATTACCAACAAATCAAACGAATATACATACGAAGGTATTTAAAAATTTAGTAAGAAAATATATCCAAGATAAATTTTGTTATTCTATAGAAGATTCCTTTTTCTAGCTCTATCAATCCATTTAATAATGTTTACTACAAAAATAATTTTAAATGTTCTATGTTTATTTGGAAAAACAACAGTTGGTTCTATAGATGAGATGTCTACTACATGCAGTATCCAAAACTTAACGATTGTATAAAATAAATAGAGAAAATTTATTTATAATTTCTTCTCTGAGTAGTAAGCCAAAAGTAGTTGACAAATCTTATTGTTACTAATATACTTTATGATTTCACCCTAAAACAAATTAAACACACAGTAATAGTCAGAATAATTCTGGTACGGTCAGAGTAGTTCTAGAAAAAAGCTGAGCCAAATAACTGAAAAAATCTTCTTCATGTTTAACGATTTCACCCAAAAACCACTGAAACTCACGGTAGTAGTCTGAAGGGTTCTTGTATGCAGGGCAAGGGTAGTCCGCTGTGGAGAAGTAGGGAAGCATGTCTCTACGACGACCTGAGTACATGAGTCTACCACTAGACAGCAGCACTACGCGGGAGACCATCGTAAATATCTCGTACGTGGGCGGCTGTAGCGTCAGAATAACGATGCGGCCGGACAACCCACCTGTGGTGTTTACAATCACTTGTTAAAACTGACATAACATTTTGTTGTCTACTTACTTGTAGTTGGTGTATTGATCTTCTTACATGTAAATTGTCAGACTTTATGTAAAAAAAAATTTTATGATACAAAATTGTATTTAAATTGCCAACAACATTTGGTTAGGTACTTATTATACATAGTTTTAAGGAGCATGAAAAAAGGTTTAAAATAAAGTTCTTAAATTAAAGAAGCTGGAATGAATCACATGTCGCTTGTAGTTGAGTCAAACAATACTAGTTTCAGTAGTTTCAGTTTATAACCAAGTGGTGGTCTCTGAACAGAAAGAAATACTGTGTAAGACAAGGAATAATTTATTTCTGATCAAACAACATTGTTAAAAAGATTAGTAAAGATTAAAATACCACCAAGCATTCATCAGTCATCAGATACTGATATGAAATTTTGCAATCATTCTGGTAAGGTGACAAAGCGAAGGTTGAAAACTCGTTTCTCTATACTAAAACTGAGTCAAAAAAGATAAATAATAAAATTTAGATACTAAAGTTTGGTGAAGTTTTCAACCTAAACTTTTACTTATTGTGCATACTAACACCATTAGGACGTTTTTTTTTTTAAGTCTTCCAAACCACCGTTGTTGTAACATCCAAAACTGTCTTTTTGTTAGATATCATTATAATTGCCCAGTGACGAATAACATCAGGGTTCACTATCGACCAAGGCTGGGATCGAACCAGCAACCCTCAGGTTAGAAGGCGAGTACTACAACGACTCGGCTACCCAGACGTACACTACAACTCACCAGTGCCTCCACCTGCCCACTGTCGTAGAAACTCGACCAGGAAGAATGTGTCAAAGATGTCCATATGAGCGGTCGGTCGGTCCAGCAGAAGAATCTCCGTGTTGGCGATGAGATGACACGCCAAGTTGAGTCTTTGCAGTTCCGAGGCTGTGAGAGAAGATACCTTGGTGTCCAACACCTGGGCGAGGCCTAGCTCCTCTATTAGCAGACCCATCTATGGAGAGAAGATAAGGGCGTAAGACAAAGTCTGAGAAGCGGAATAAGTTCTAACAAAGAAACCTTGTTTATCTATTAACTTCAATAGCTAATAAAGTACTGCTAATTTTGTTATGAATTTGAGGAAGGAGTATGGTAGATAATTTAGTTTGGTTAAGACCTTTGAGGCAAAATTACCAGTTTGTTTAACATAATAAGTGTTTTTCCATAGTAGAAAAATATTTTATTAATTGTCTCAATGGATAGGGTTAGAATTGTATACTTTCTCGGTGCACTGAGTTACCTTGAAGTTTCCTACAAAATTTGAAGCAAATCTCAAAATAATTGTGACCCCTCCCTATGGTGCAGACACAAGTACCTCAACATTTTGAAAGACTACACAGGAGTTGTAATATTAACTTCAGTAAGCTCAAACCTCACTTTGATAATAAAGCTGAGAATCTAACTTTTCCATAATAAATTTAATAAATTACGTAAGGGACAATTGAAAACAACTGGTATAGACTAAACTCAAGGTTAAATGTTCTTGTGATTTAAGTTACTCTCAAAAATCAGCTGATGAGATGAAGTTTTACGATCTAACGCAAACCTCAGCTAAAAGAGAGTAGGAATTAAGTTAGTGAAGCCAAGAGCTTGCCTTAATAAAGACTACAAAGACAAAATAAAGATTAAATCTAAAGATTAAATGTGCTTATTTTAGCTTCCACTACCTCAACTAGCTAGCACTAAATTATGATTAAAACTTCAATAAATTTTATCAATCATTCCTATTAGGATGAAATAAAATACACACTCTAAAATTACATTAATACACACATCAGATACTTACTTGTTCTTGTACAGAAACTTTTTGTACGTTTATGTACGGAGGCCGACGGAGGATGGAGTAGAAAGCTAGTGTCTGCGCGACACTCAGGTTTGGAGCAAGGACAAAGTCTGCTCGGACATATGCAGCCCGTCGCTGCAGCGAACTCTGTGTAAGCTTTTGTCCGTTCAGGATTATGTGAGCTATCCTGGCGTTGGCATGTCCCATTAGTCCGTCCAATAGCGCTTTGCCTTCTGGTGCTAAGCATAAAGTTTATTTTTAAAGATTTTCTTCTTTCAAAATCGAGAATACTTAGGTAATGTAACAATTTCTTTTGTGACAATAAGATAGGCTTATTATTTTATTCCATCTAAAAAAACAATTTCATGCAAAGCATGCAAGCATGAAGCATAAGCTTTACCCTTACTGTGCTTTAAAATAAAAGTTTTGTGTCATATGCTACAAATCACATGGTAACTAAAAGAATACTAAACAAAAGGAATTATTTGGAGATTTCAATTATTCCTTGTTATGATTTTCCTTTACCATCTTATGGACATTAGAATTCAAAATGTTAACATTTTTTAAACAATGGTGATCACACTATAATGGGTAAAAAGTAGCAAAATGGCTGATTTTTACAACAAACAAAGAATCCACAATTATCATGTTATCTTCAACCAAAGCCATCCAAAGTTCTAGGAGGGCCTCTCACACCTAAATTTGCTACACAAAGATTAATTCGTGAGTTTCACATCAGACCCAACTGAGACATTATTCTTCTCTCAATTTACTGCTGGCTCAATCAACTGGTACTGCTTGGCCATTTATTAGCCCTAACCGCCTACTACACTAACTACATTTGTCAAACAAGAGAAGTGTAGTAAATTTTATACTTTACTCTTCAGCACAAGTCAGGCATAACTTTCAACTGTTTCCACTGAGTTTATGTTAGTTGTACCTCGTCAAAGTATTCTGTAGCGGCCGGGCAAGATAGACTTTTTTGTAGAGTATTTTAGTAAATATTTCACTATTGTTATCAACATTTGTCATTTTCAAATCACAAATAGATTTTATTAAGTGATAATGCTGCAGCCACTAGGTCTAGCATTAAGTAATGTGAAAAACAATCCCGGGCTCGTGCCTGCGTCTTAAGACGAAAACAAATTTCAAAAAATTAAAAAATTAAATTTTTTCAAAATTTTCAAAAAATGAAAAAAAACAAAAAAAACATTTAATCCGAAATGGGCCCGGTCCCAACCATTTCGGACTAACGGGACTCTACTGTATAGACCGTCAGCCGTGCTGCGGTTACCATAGGTTCTGGCGCACACTGCTGGGAGTGCCACGTAGTTACGTACACGCTACGTAACTACACGGCGCTCCCAGCGGTGTGCGCCAAAACCTATGGGGTCCGCAGCCCAGCTGACAGTCTATATTACATTCTTTTTGTCTATGATATGATACATCAGTCTTTAGGAGATCAATGTGATCAAATTTATAGTGAGCATTCGGCTTACCTGTGGTGGCCATAACTGCTAGAATTTCCCCTCCTCTGACTTCAAAAGAAACACCTTGAAGAAGAGGTTCTTTCTTTTGCCCTTCCACGTCCATTCCTCTAACCTGTAGGAGAAGAACATAGTTTAGTGAATTGAAAATTAAAACGTAGTTTGTGATAACCTACATTTCCTCGAATTCTTTACACAGAATTTCACCATGTTTTTGGTTAAACTATTCGAAATTAGGTCAAAGAACAGGAGTTATAACTTCCAGAGGTGTGCATTTAAGCTGTACAATTTACTTTGGAAACTGCAAGTAGACTTTACATCTTAGTGATACATATAGTGACTTTACATCATAAAATCTGAGTCCGTTTTGATGTGAGCTTTATCAAGTAAATTTTGATTAGGCTGATGCTGACTATACACACTTTCTTTTTTCTTAATTCAGGGTAAATTTAAGAGTGTACACTCATTTACTATGATACAAGAGGAAAGGCAAATAGCAACAGTAAAAAAATTTCATACCACTAAGTCGCAACGTTTATTCTACAATTGGCCATTGTAGAATAAACGTTGCAGTTTAGTTGCATGGCATAGGTACTGTAATGTATACTTTAATACTTTTCATTGAAATTGCGACCATACAAAGTAGGTATTTTAAGCCAAGTATGAATGAAGATGAGTGTAGGAGGAGTGACACGATATTGTAATCTTGTTAGTGACTAAGGCCGACATATTCCTTAGACACAGCTGTTAATTAATAGCCCATACAGCTAATGGAAACTAAGGGACCTACAGTTTATAGTGGAAGCCGAACCACATTTTTGATTTGGTATTAATGAATTGGTCTAATTATCAGGATAGTACTGCGGATAGTCTTAGTACTCACTAGTGCAGACGTTAATCCATACCAGGGAGTATCACATCCACAGTGCATATACATATAGTATGGCACCTTGTATTCCTAGTCAGGAACCGATGAGAATCTCTTTAGCGAATGAGTGGGGGGGGGGGGGGGGGTGTGACATCACTCTTCTCTTGAGGGAACACCATTAACGTAACGAGGCGATGTGATTTCATCGGCGTTTGTGGTGTATAGTTGATAACGTCTCGGACTGGTATGCTAGAGGTCTCCAGATCGAATCCCGCCGGGGACTCTAACTTTTTGTCAAAGATTTTGCTTAGAATGCCAATACTTCTTAACTGTACATCTTTTGTTAGAATTTTAGGCATTTATAATTTTATTTATGAACAGATTTTTTTTTTATTATTAAACCTTCATTTGATTTTTATCTTAGGCTATTACTTTTTAAAATCATCAGCAAGTTTAGTTGGTTAGATTGGTAACTAAAAAATTATAAAATAAATTTATAATTTTTCTTAAATCAACAAGAGGGGTCCCCACAATCCCCCACTCCTTCACAGAAAAGGTTCTCATCGGTTCCAGACCAGGAAAATGAGACGCTAGTATGCATATAGTTACATCCACAGTCGATCATCATTGGCTATCTTACTTAAAATATATACCGCATGTCTACACCCATCTCCATTCATACTTGGCTTAAAATACCTACATTCGTATGGTCGCTATTTCATAAGCAGGTATTAAAGTATTAAAACACATCAAAGCAGGCTTCAAATTTGACAATAGTATATTTTAAATAGAACAGTTACAATATTAGTGATTGAGCCTTACCTGAAGGTGCGGATACTGTCCATTGTACAGTTCTCCTCTGTTGACTTGGAAGGAGAGGGTGGTTGGTTCCCGATGAGTCAGGGGGATGCTGAGAACAGACGACGGCCTTCCCACCACGGCCACTGAGGCTGGCCTACCCCCTCTGTAGACAAGTTGAGTATAAACTGTTTGTATCTCTTGTAATACTTTATTTGTGTTTATTGTTGTTCCATACCTTCATATCCTAGGACGCTATGCACTAGCCTGTGAATTGCACATTTTTTCAGACTAGTACTAGTAGGTTGTAGATCAGTTTGTTGGCGATTGGCGAGATTTGAACCTTAAGACCTCACTAGAACAAAGCCCCCACTAGTGCTCTACTCCTAGACCAGATCGCACCCCCTTTTGTAACACTAGTGATCGATTTGAACCCAAATGTAAATGGAAATTGAGTGTGAAATGAAGAAGATTAATAGCTTTAAAATCAGCTGGTTCTACAGCCACAAATAAATTGTTTCTATAATCAATGGTAGATATCATAGCTGTCATTGAATATAATATTGTAATGTATAATATCTTAGATTACATAATGTGTATTCTAAAATAAATTTACAGATTATTCCCTTTTTATGTCCTCACCCAGTTGTGATGATCAACAAAGCAACTAATAATACTATAATCAAAACCAACACAATAATTCACAATTAATATTTTTGTCAATTATCCAGCGTATGTAAATCCAATCAAATATATGTAGTTGATTGAATATGTAAATGTACACCTCCTTGACTTGTTGCAGAAATGAACGCTTCTTTGATAGATATTTGCCCTTGGCTGACTCCGCTAACGATGAGAACTACTTCCCTGGCAAGACGACCACCCAACCGGAACATTGCAGTGTTAATGGAATTAGACATAGTACAACTTTAAATGGGAAGTATTAAACAATAGAACAATTAACTTGACAGATTAAAACATTTGAACATTTGATTATGAAAATTATTTTGCCAACTGGCTCATTTTAGTTTGTGCAGGTAACAAGGCTATCAAAAAAGTAATTCCACACTCATCTCCACTATACAAACATTATTGTGTCAACAATGAATCAAATTTTATCCATCCTTTAATCCTGACCTTGATATAAAGTTTCAACCTAAGTCAATCTCCCAGTATAAGTTTTCAATTAGCAACAATCACACCTCAGTGCATAGCCTCCTCTAACACAAGGCTGCGGAGAGACAAAAGTAGCAACACCCCTGTCCTATCAAAACGAAACAACTGTTGCTCTAATTTATAATGGAGAGAATAGGCAATGTTTATGTTTACATTTTTGTCATTACCGTGGCAATAGGCACGACGTTGCAACGTTGTCACACACCAACGCAGCGGCCTTGTTTAAGAGGAGGCTATGCTTAGTTACATTTAATAGCGAACAAAAAAACTTATCTTGTCCAAATAGCTAACTGTCATTGTCATATCTCACAAACAAACCTGGACCTATAAAAATAAATTACAACGTGAAAAACATATCCCAAACATACTTGTGATGGTGCATCAGCAGGTGTGCTGGAGAGCCGATCTCGTTGTAGGGGTGTTGGTGGGGCATGAGGAGGGAGGGGTGGCGGAGGTCGTGTATACTGCGGCGGTGCTCTGGCGGAGCAGGGGACCTCATCAGTGCCTCGGCGGAGAGTAGGTTAGCTTCACTGATACTCTTGCCTCTTCCCCCCGCCATGCCTGGCGCTCTTGGTAGAGTGGGCTGCAAAGGATAAAATGTATGAAGATACAGATTCTTTTATGGTTTACTTACTCCTATGACCATCTATAATATAGAAGGGTTTTGGCCTTGCTATCTTTTCTGGTTGTATGCCTCATCTACTTCCGCTCCTGCTCTTGCGATAATATTTATAGTATATTAAATCGTGAAGATGTCACTGAACAGCTGTTTTTGGTTTAGTAGACTAATTCATGTCAAAGCCAACATCGCAGCTCAGTGGTAGAATCTTGGGCTGGTATTGCAGACATTGCTGGTTTTAGAACAGCTGACTGTGTTATTTTATCAACACAGTCAAACATCATCATGTTTTATCAACATAGATCTAAATTAAAAGTGCGTCTTTTATTTTGTTGACCTCTTCAGTTCTAAACATACATACATACATACATACATAAATTGAAAAAAAAAAAATTAACACAAGTTTTTTTATTAAATGTTTTGCTCACCTGATGGTAAGGTATGTTGCGGAAGTCAGGGTTGCTCTGTGTACGCAGGTAGTAGTTGGTTGTTCTCTTGTCATTTCGGGACGTTGTCCCCCCGTCTTCACTAGAGTCATAGCCGCTGGAGCCGTCCCGGGGGTTGCGGGGGCCCCCACCATTAGGGGGAAACACCCTTGGAAGGCCAAACTTGAGGTATGTGTACATGTTGGAACCCAGGGGTGACCTGGAATATTCATAACTATAATTCTGTGACTAAATGAATACCAGTGGCTTGTAGGGATATTAAGTCTCTAAAAAGCTAAAATGTAAAACAAATTATTGTAATATTTAAACAAACACAGAATAAAATTATCCATGTGTCAGGATAGATATCTCAGTACAACATATATTTTGTATACAAAACAGTTTGTCTTTGTTTGTCCTTGTTGATGTTATTTTTAATAAATAATTTGGCATAAATCGTAGCCTAAATCATCATAGTCTCAAAGAGTAAAGGAAAAAATAAAATTTTGTCAGCAAGGCACCTTGTGAGTTGTCCATTAACTGTATTCTATTCAAATAAAAACTGCCTACTGCTAGTCCATAAGTGGGTTGTTTACTTCAGTATCAAAAAATGCTCAAACGAATAATACTGAGTTTGTCCATGAGCAATATGGTTTAAGTTGAATAGATTTAACCTTATTAATTTTATCAGAAAAGTTGATCAATACAGTTAGAATAAGCAGCTGACATCACCAGACAGCAAGGCTTCTGTATCCAGCGACTCATAATAATATGATTCTTTTGTTTATAATCCACGTGAACTCACTTTGGTCCGTAGCGTGGATGACTAAGGATAGACTGGACAGTTGACTCTCTCAGCTGGAAATTACCGTAAGGTAGTGGTGACTTCTCACTCGACCCCAGAGCCGAATCTGTGAAGTCCGAGTTGAGATTTTGCCTGAAAAAAAAACAACTGATTTTTATCTATATAATTATTTGTAATTACCTAACTACTAGATTTTTGTGCATTTCAGCTACCGTACCAAAATTATAGACTAGAGGCTTACCAGGCGTGCAGGTCCACTGAGGCAGAGGGTATCATCCCTGCAGATAGTAGTGGTGGTCTGTTGATGAGGTCTGAGGTAGCAACAGCCTCCCCTGCCACACTGTACCTCCGCTCTAACCCCCCGTAGATTTTAGAGCTAGTTATCATCTACCACCTACCTGTATATAGACCAGGCATGTAGGTCCTCTGAGGCGGAGGGTACCATCCCTGCAGACGGAGGTGGGGGTCTGTTGATGAGGTCTGAGGTGGCTACAGCCTCCCCTGCCACACTGTACCTCCGCTCTAACCCCCCGTAGATTGTAGAGCTAGTTATCATCTACCACCTACCTGTATATAGACCAGGCATGTAGGTCCTCTGAGGCGGAGGGTACCATCCCTGCAGACGGAGGTGGGGGTCTGTTGATGAGGTCTGAGGTGGCTACAGCCTCCCCCGCCACACTGTACCTCCGCTCTAACTCCCATAGCTCCTTGTGCTTGTTCCCCTTTACCATCTCACGGGACACCATTGAGCCGCTAGCTCCTATAACAAAAATAGATTAGTTTTTCATATTAAATTAACTATGCAGGTCTTTATTTTCCAAAAGTTGAGTAAATAACATACGAGCACAGTATCATATCTGCTAAGTTAACAAATGAATCAATCATTCTTCTACTTTCTACAACATGTCATGCAACATGGGGTCAGGTGTCAAATCCTAAAATAAATAATAATACAGTATTTTCAAGAGGGAGGAGGTGGAAAAGTATAATGTAGGGAAACATTAGCATTAGCAAAACATTGTCTAGGAGATAAGAGGTTCTTACGAAAAATCATGCCTTTACCAATATAATGTAAATTACTTCAGGTTACTGGTTTGGATGAGATATGTCTGCACATCTTTTTTCAACCCTCTTCTCCTTGTAAAGTAAAACTTAATCCCTCTCCACACCCTTACGCCCTTACCCATCTCATTTGCAAACAAATAAACAAAACAATCAGGTGTATATTTTTATCAAATGATCTCCTAACTAATATAAAAAAAAATGACTAACAACTAAAGAGAAAAACTTGTTAAGAGGACTGAACACTGGTGCTTTGACATTTAAAGAAATTTGGAGGTACAAATTTGAAGCGAAATGATACACAATCGTCCCCCAATTTGTTCCGCGGGACATTAGATGCAGCAGCGTCCTCGCAGTCAAGGTCCGGCCCGTGGACCACGGCGGGAATTGAGGAACCACGGAGAGTGCATAGAGTAAGGAGGAGAGTTACATGCGAACTTTGTACTCTATGGATGACAGGTCAGACAAGCAGAACATGGAACAAGGTTCAGTTTAAAGGTTGTCTTGAAGTTAAAAAGGGATAGAGATATGTTTATTGCCATCTCAAAGTTTATTCCAAACAGTGTTGCCAAATGTGATTATTTTACTATATTGCAAACTTTACAGGCCTTTCGGAGATTTAAACTTTACAGAAACATTTAATGTAGGCCTACATTGTATGGAAAAAGAAACAGTAAAGGCAAAAAATTAATTTCACTTCTGTTAATTCCAAATTCGTCTTCTAATCAAAAGGGAGTAAACAAATTAACTTGAACGTAACCACAACCTCGGCATTAATCCAACACATTCATACTTCCTGCGATTACCAGGAGTAGGACAAGGTTCTGCATTACTTTTAGGGGATTTCTCGTAATCACCAAATTTGTAAGTGAATTAGTGACTTGATCGTCTTATTTGTGGAACCAAATTCAGATAGCCACAAGGCCAAATAATAAATTATTTGACGAAGTAGATTGCAGCAATACTTAGTCAAATTAAAGAGGCTTTTTTTATTTTGTTGACCTCTTCAGTTCTTGATGTTCAGATTCTTGATTAGTTCCAGTGACTTTCGGATGGATATGAAAACACTATAACTCAGCTTATTTTGTTGAATAAAATAATGATTAGTGGATTCAACATTTCTTGCATAGAGACAATTAGGGTATTACAAAACTTCCAAAACAAAATTAAACCATTCTTCTGTTACTTGATCAGCAATTCAAGGCCACTCATGCAATAATCCTTCCTTCTGTACGACTGAAAATGTCATCTTCAATTCTGAAGTGTAGAAGTGTAACGGTACGAGGACGTATAAAGGATGAAACAGAATGGACGACAGTTGACGAAATCAATGTAGGCCTCTTTTACGAGCTAGATGTGAAGTAGGGCCAAATTAGACCTGGGGTGTAAATAACGGGTTGGAAGAATGTTGACCCGGAGACCCGAAAATACGGGCACTTGACATAGTGCGTGTGATAGTGTGCCCAAACTATCAAAAACAAATAATAAGGGACGTTCAGTTTTTGATAAATGAAGTGAGGGGCTGAAGTAGGATACTCAATCAATCAATCAATAATTAAGATGGGGACGCCACCTAGGTGCGTATTTTAACCCAAATATAAGTGAAGGATGAGTGTAGAATGGAGTGTGGTGACCTGTGTAGCTTTGTTACTGACTAAGATCAGCTGTTTCATTAGTCAGGATCATTTATTTAAAGCCCAATGATCAGGACAGCTGGGACCAGTTTAGAACCATCAAAAACTACACACTTTCTCAGGATCTAAACGGCGACCTTTTGATTACAAACAAATTTTCAAAATACAGAACGTCCAAAATTTTGGGTCTGACTTGTATTAGGGGAGGTACGAATGAGGCATTTAGTTCTAAATTCCTCCGTGAACAGCGCTGTAGTAGAGAGCACTTTGGCAATGAAGATTTACTAATCGCAAAAATAGTTAATAAATAAAATTATAAATGCCTCAAATTCAATTTTATTATTTTTTAATTATAAAATTAACTATCATAACCTAACCGAACTAACCAAACTTGCTGATAAAGAAATAATATAACAAAAGTTTAGTAATCGGAAAAATAATTCTGTTTATTAAATAAAACTAGAAATTGCTCAATTAAAATTTTATAATGACTTAATAATAAAATTAAACTGTAATAACCGAACCAAACCAACCAAACTTTCTTGGACAAAAGGTTAATGCTACCAGCGGGATTCGAACCCGGGACCTACAGTATATCAGCCCAGCACGCTAACCATTAGACCACCGAGGCCGATGGCTATGGTCCGTTTTGTTACGGTAATGGCGTTCCCTCAGCTAATAAGAAGCCCACAGCTGTCATCGTAGCCTCTTCTATACCTCCCCTGAGTAAATACCCAAAATTTTAAACTGTCGGTTTAGGCCTAAGTGGTTGTAAGAGGTGAAAATACAGGTACTTATACTTGACAATCAAACCATCAATTATTGTGTGGTTTGTAGATTCGAAATTTGATTGAGCCTGCGCTATGTCCAATACGACTAATCCATCTTTCAGGATTAGAAGTGTGCTCTGTTGTTTCGACTTTATTTTAGTCTCTTCAGTCATGGATAGGTCCGAAGACCACCATGAGACAACAGTAAATGTGATTTGCGTGGAACGTGTTCATTACGAGATTCCAGCATTCACTGGGCAGTACGAGCGTTCGACTCGCTTTTACAAACTCTGTGTGACAGTGGAAGAATTTAGCAATCCACAATGTCAAGAGTGCCCTACTTTTCAAAATTTTCACAGAGACTATGTATATTTATTAATTATACCTCAATTAAGTTTAAAATGACTTTGATTAGTCATATCGAAATTCAGAAATGTTTACTAGAGACAGCTGAAATTGGGTTCCAGATTCCAGGAACCAATCAGCATGCGATGACAGATTTCAGTCATCCAAAGGCACTGGACGTGAAAACAAATAAACATCAAAACATCAATTATTGATATGAGGATACCACAGGTGCGTATTTTAACCAAAATATGAGTGAAGTATGAGTATAGAATGGAGTGAGACGATCATTGTAGCTTTGTGATCAGCTGTTTTATCAGCCAAGATCATTGATTTAAAGCCCAATGATCAGGAACAACTGGGTCCATTTTCGAACTTTTTAATTGTTTAATAAGGACGGCAAATCTATGAGTATGCTTAATCTGTGAAGTGCCCAAATTGATAGTAAACAACGAGACGCTCTGCACAGGACATACACAGGAGTAATCTAACAAACTTACTTAAATTGCTCAATGAGGAAAATAAATCGTGCATAATCTGTGCTATAACTCATCATTTGACGTTTTACTAATTGCGCAATGAATCCTAGTAGTTAAATCAGCTGTCCAATCACCTGGCTAGCAATAACCGCAGGACCATTCAACTTGTTCTCACAACTGACTCTTGCATCTGACACCTGGTTTGTAAGTGGCAACACAGTATATAGTGCCATAGATTAATACACGACTAAATATATTATATACGATATAACGTAAAACGATAAGAAATGTATCCTGAAATAATATATTGAGCCATATCTGTACATTTAAGTCCACCCGGACAAACACACACATACTCACGCACACAGGCATAATATGAAGAGAAGCTACTTGCAGTATCTAAAGTCAATGATGCGCAATGTGCATATTTCCTGCGTCATGATGACGTAAACAACCTTAATTGACTTTAAATACAAGATTACTTCTCATACAATAGTCAAATCCGAAGCTTATTAATGACAAGCGTATTACACTCGAGGCTTCGTTTGAATGCGCTAATGTCGACTTAAATTTTCTCTATTATCTTGGGATGACTATTACGTTTTCGTTTAACTATTTTGTTACCAGACAAAGCCATAACTCATATGAGTGCATCGTTTTACTTGGCAAAAAATAGGTGGTGAAAATTGTGTGAATGGTTTGACATCGCGAAATGGATTATTTTAAGGTTCTGAAGGTCGATTTGCCTTGGAATCCAAAACTGGGGCGAAACCTTATCTACTACTAGGACGAGTCAAGGCTGTGACGGAAAATTCTGTAACCTTTCTTAAAATTACGGATCTTATATTACAGAAACAACAATACGGGATGGACAGTAACGTGAAGTTCACAAAAATAACAAGAGGAAATATGAAAACCATGTCAGTAGAGAAAGCCAAGCTAATGAATCGTCGAATCCGCTAGGTGTTGTTGTAATTGGTGACTTGAACGAGTGGAATGTGAGAATCTCTGACAAACATCCTGTGTGTAATACTACTATAGAACCTCGATAGCACGTCTCACGGAGATTATGTTAGACTTCTTATGTAGGTTTGCTATAATATGTCAGGGGCGGATCCAGAGAAGAATTCAGGGGGGCCTCCAAGGGGTCGGGGGTATGGAAACCAAACGATGTAAAAACTACTGGAAACCCCCATCAAAAAGGGGTCTGGGGGTATGGAAACCCCCATCACAA